GGGAGGGACAGAGGGAGTCAGCAACCCCATTCCCTGTCCCATACATCACTTTGTAGCTGGGGAACCCGGACACTCAGGGCTACAGGATTATAGTAATAAAGACTTTCTAATTAGTCGTTTTGCTTTTTTTGACTGCTGTGTCCATAAACCAAATGGCCTATTGCATTAGGCAAATCTGCTGCCAAAGACCTTTTAAAAGTGTTCAAGAGCAAAGATGTCAGTTTAACTCAGGACTAAAGTGCATCAGGCTCAAACCAGGGAGTCCTGGTGTGGCGCTATAAGATAAGCACCTGACTGCAAGGTGCTTCAGGCTTACCAGCTGCTCCTCAGAAACTCTATACAGTTGCTATGAGTCAGAACCTACTCAAAGGCTCTTAACAACAACAACGTACACATGAAAGGTGGACAATGAGTAAGGAAGATCTGAGAAGAATCAGTGTATTTGAGTTAATTAAGAACATTGAAAACACCATGGACTGCCAGAAGAACAAACCAATCTGTGTTGGAAAAACTATAGCCAGAGCGCTCCTTAGAAGCCAGGATGGCCAGACTTTGTTTCTTTTTCTTTGGACATGTTGTCAGGAGGGATCAGCCCCTGGAGAAGGACATCATGCTTGGAAAAGTGGAGGGTCAGTGAAAAAGAGGAAGACCCCCAATGGAGGAGTTGACAGAGACAGCAACAATAAACTCAAACCTAACAATTGTGAGGTTGGCGTAGGACCAGGCAGTGTTTCGTTCAGTGGCTTTTGAGTCGGAAACAACTTGACAACACCTAACAACACTTGGTCTGTGTTAACTGAAAGTCTGTGCTTCCAAGGAAGATACTAGTTATATCAGCTGCAGCTGGGGCAGACACTCCACCGCTCAGATGGTCTTGGGAGCCTGGGCAAATCACACAGCAGCTCTGCCAAAGTATACCCCAGCCTGACCCCCACCTTGGGAATTGTACAAAGCTGGCCTGAGGAGGAGCTGAGCGCTGGGACAAACATCAAAAGGCAAACAGAGTTACACCCAGGAAGGGATGGGTACCGCCCCACCCCACCGCAGCCCTCCCTGCCCTACTCCAGAACATGGGCTTCAAACAAGGTTGCTTAGAAGTCAGGTCTCATAACCTGCTCCTTCAAAAGTCAACCAGCAGAATGTAAGACCCTATCCACAGAAGCAGCGACACTAGAGATGGAGGCACAGAGGGGGACATGGAGAGAGGGAGCAGCTAAGGACTCTAGATTCATGGGAAGAGAGGGACTGGATGCTGGTGGCCAGGAGGCAGACTTGCAGAATGTGCCCTTTGGTGGTGTAAATTATTATTATATATGCCTGAGTGTTTTTTAAAAAAAGAGCTAAAATGAATATGGAGAAATATTGTTAACCAATGGTACCTGGAGGGGATTCTAATCATTGTAATGAAACAAGGTGTAAAGATTTGTTGAATGTAAAACTAATGATCTGACCTGGAAACTTTTACTCAATTCACAATAAAAACTTTAAAAATATTGAAATAAAGTCAACCCAATCAGTGGTTTTGC